CTTCACTTACCGGCATATCTTCGGATAGGGGATGTAAAGTGAGTATATAGGGGTGCCGCAAGCCCATAATGATGATATTCTGGAGGAGTGAGATCCCCACTACAGAAGTACACAGCCTGAGTAATAATAATTTAAAAATGTTAGATATGCCAATATCCGGTGAAAATCACCAGCAACTGAACTACTTAAGTCATCAAGGAAGCATTACCTGTGTCATGCACCTAGTTGCCAATATCCTGATCAGCTTATTGAAATATGGATCCTCACCCTGACGAATTACGATTTTGTTAAGATTGAGCGAAGAGAAAGAAAGATGTTTGAAACAAGGAAGCTAGTTACTTATTATAGGAAGTATAGCATTAAAAGACCACTTAAAAGTGACAATTGCAGTTAATTATGAGTAGAATGTACAACCCTAGTTGTAGCAATGAAACAGAGGAGGTAGTAAAAATGGCTAAACAGTGGCTGCGAAATAACATAGTTCAGAAAAAAAAACTCACCACAGCTCGGTCAAGTGAATCAGCCAAAGCTTTAGATGAAGAGACATCTAAGGTAAGCCCAATAGCTGCAGCAGTACGCAACAGTGGTTCAAGCATTTCTCTTGTTGGAGTAGGATGACGCCTGCATGAAGAACCAAACCAGAGATATGATAAACTACTATCGATAATAAAAATGAAAAGAAAATGCAACATATGTCCGTAAACACTTCCTCAGATCGCATAATATTCATTATGTTAAATATGCACAACATTGTCTAATCCAACCACTTATGGTCAACTTTTACAGGAACACAACGGTAAATAATTCATGTAACCAGCATAGCGGTATCAGCATCTTTGGTAACAGTTGAAAGACAATTTGGTCACAGCTCGACAAAAAGATTGAAATCAGTTTTACACAGAGAAACACTTCAACAGATACAGTATGATTGTCATCTTTGAGAAGCAGTCCACCAATGTAAAAGCAAGCCAATTAAACCTTCAAGAACTATCGCAAACTTTACCTTAACAGTGAACAAGAAGAGAATTGATTAAGGATTTGTTCAGCGACTGAAACATTTGCAGCAAGCATGAATTCCTCAACCATTTGGTTTGCTTCCCGAATCTGATACATGCCTGTGCAAAACACAGAGTCACAGAGCATATGACAAACAGTTCAATAAATTGAATACAGCTTTCGAAAGGATAGAGGTGGTTTTACTTCAAGGGTGCTTGGGATACATATAGACTAAGGAAAGATCTTTATATTCATCAAGAAGAAGCAAATTTCGTAGTACACATACCAATATCAAGAGGATCATGAGTCTCGGTATCAATCTGAAATTTGACTTCAGCAGAAGCAAGAGTTAAGGCTCCCCTATCAATACGCCTTTGCCTCATTATCTACATGTTTCAAAAACGAAACACAGGTAAAATTATTGTGTTCTTTCTATGATTCTGGAACATATGACAATATGTGAGAGGATTGTATTAAACCTTTGCCAAAGTATTCATGTTCCTCAGATCAGTAGTCACAGTGTCCGTCAATCGGCTGCAAAAAATAATCACTTATCAATCTTGGGCATAATGTAAAAGAGGGAATCTGAAATAACTCTACAATTCAAAATAATAGAAAGTCAAATTCATGAATACATTATTAGAAAGGTTAATTTTCTGAATAAAAAAATGCAATAATTATTTAACGTATCCACTGTCAAATCATTAGAGAGCATGAATGAAATAATTTTATTGCAGCAACAAATGCACGCAAATAACCTACTCAAACTCTATGGTAAAAGAGAATGTACCTGTCATCCATCCGAGCCTGAGCTTCAACATAGGACAATGCTGCAGACGACTTGATTATACTCTTTGTAAATCTCGTTGAGATAATCTCAGCTTCAGGGCTCATTTCCTAAATATATGAATTACGCTTAAGCTAACCTTTTACTAATTTGTTAATATGTGTAACATAAATTTTTGGGCAACATTTAAAATGGACAAAGCATACCCAAATAACCGAGAATGCAAGCCTTTCCACATCAGCTCTAAGCGAGCAAATATCTGCAAGCAAAAACCATGTTTCTTGAGGCATTAGAATTCCAACATAAAGGGAATGTATACTGTAAGTAGATAATACCTTCAGTTAAAGGCTTGGGAAGCATGTCAATACGGCGGTCAACAAGGTAGACAGATGTGCCTCTTTTTGATGCCTCATCATCCAAAGGTGTACCAGGGTGAACAAAATTTGTTACATCAGCAATGTCTAATTAAAGATGGTCAAGGATAAGTATCATAAATTCACTCCTGAGATATGAAGGGAAGACAACGGAACTAGCCAAATTTTCTGGAAGAGACTTAATACTAAAAGGCAAAAACAGACCCCCTCGAGCAATTTTAGCACTAGATAGTTATGACATAATCGAACTATCAAGCAAAACTCTAACAAGAGCCATTTCAATGCTTTGGTTAAATATACATCACAAAGTGATTTGTAACTCATTCACTCTTGATATGGGCTATACTGAAAGCTCAGTAATGTATAAATGAGATTATGTGGACTCTAGGATACGGACTCCAACTTCAAAGTTCCCGTTTGGAAGCGATGTACAGTGCAATGCATCATCAATATCTTTGCAACCTGTTAGCACCACAAACAAGTTAATCTGCTTGCACACAACTAACTGCAGACTCTGAAAGATATTTTATTTGGTTAACTTATTTATAGTATATATATTGTCAAACGAGTAAATCTTAAGGTACATACCTGGAGGATCCACACTAAAGACAAGCAAATGTCGTAAGTCTTGCCTAACAGGATTGGATACGTCTTCAGAAGATACAGACCAGGGTAAGGGTGGCAAGCATGCCAGAACTTGAGAAGAGAATGGCGAGTAGTCAACATCATTCTCTATCAAGACAACCTGAAGCATCCACAAGAAAAAGTATTGATGTTATTTCCAATTATCCAAGTCATTTACTTCCCTCAAAAAAGGAAACCAATATACTCGTCCTAATCTTGCCCTCCCACCTCCTACCAGAATAGAACCCAGTAATTTAATATAATGCCCCTACCTCTGTTTCTGTTTCCCTGTCACCTATTTTGCCGATTGGTCGTACATAATGGCCAGAAGGATATCGAGATTGACGGTCCCAAGAATCAACTGCCACTACTATCCTCATATTCAAAAGGTTCTGCAGCTGTCGAGTATTAATGCGAATCTTGGGAATTCTGCGATCTTTAGAGACAAATAAAGCATGTGCCGTTCCACCACTACCAGCAGGTAGTGACATTGGTTCAAGAGATCCACAATAGCTGCATGATATAATGCAAATTAGGAACTGTCGTCCAGAAACCAACTCTAGAAACAGATTATCAAAGTAAGAACAAATTAAGGAAAAGCAAAGCATAACTGCACAGACAAAAGACACTGAAATCGTCAATTCATATATGTATATTCCAAAGGAGAGTATATCTGCATGTTTGTTAAGATGATCTCATATGATGCATCAATGTGCCAGCAAGAAGATAGAGTAATCAATTAGAAAAAAATCAAGAAATGAACTCACGAGTGCCAATTTCTACGGATAACACCGACTACACGGCCTGATGGACGAGCAGGGACAGCATTTTTATCCCCAGAAGTTTCTTGGGCTAAACTTGAGATTCTAGGAGCGTCATCAGCACTGTTGGGAGCCAAATGAACAGTATCGTCTTCATCTTCATCTGCATTTGAATTTGATATGTGAAAAGAAAGATAATGTTTGACACAACTTCATGCAAGCAGATAAATCGTTCAAAATATATGTAGATATTTACAGAAACCTTCTTCTGCTATAGAAAGTGCCTTCTCCTCTTGCCATTGATCGCGAGGCAAGAGTTCTATCGCAACAATATCACCATCGAAAGCCCTGTTCATGTTGCTGCGCCCATAGATAATTATTTCTTCACCAATGCTCTCACTTCCAACATAAGCTTCAAAAGGATTGAAACGATTGACACGGAGTTTTCCTTGATGATATATTCCACGGTGTAAGCCAGCAGTAATCTCAGACATGGGCTTATGCTGCAGGTAGGAAAAAGAACATAATTATAGGAGACAATAGTTGTTTGATGGCATTATCTAGTTACCCAATCCTACGACTGAAAAACAAGTAAATATTTATCTCCATTACCTCTAGGTATACAAGTTTCCTCTTTGAAGGTCTGGAATCATCTGCATCTTCCATGGTTATGTCTTCAGCGGTTGGTTGGGCAAGAAGATCCAACAAGTCAGGTTGTCCAATTGATTTCACATAAGCCTCAACTGAAACAGAAACATTCATTGATAAAATTCTACGTCATACAAAATATCTGGAATGCTGGAAAGTAAGACAAATTCTATTAAAAAGCAAGAGACAATTTACATACTTGTCTCTGCAGATATTCCCTCTTCAGTGGCCTTCCGTTTATTTTCCCTGTCATTAGTTACAAGCAACACCTGAGATGTACCACCTAGATGCTTCTGGTACCATAGCGTCGCAACACGAATAGCTGAATTCCAGATAAATTTAAAAGTTTAACAACAGATGCATACCAGGAGATGAAAGTGGAAAGCTCTAAGATACTTCTATAAATTGATATATAATCAAGCTAGTAACAAGATGTTAGCAAATGAAGAAGATGATTATATAGTAAATAGAACCTCTATCGTTGTGGTCGTTGGCGCTCTCTCTCTCCATGGCCTGCACATAAGTATCCCTGTGGAAAGTTTAGTAAAGGCAAGAACAAAAAGATAAAAACACAAACAAAATTACAGCGAATCCAATCCAATATCGACTAACAACATATCCAAAGCTCGAAGTTCGAACAATGTCTTACTTGTGGACATGATTGGAAAAAACATAGAATTGCTTCGCTGGATTGCTGCAGAGAGCTCTGATTCTATTGTAAACAGATCTGTTCCTGTTCTTAACCTCATCTAACACCACAGACAGAACAACAACATTGTCTATAGCCTGATTCTCCAACAAATCAATCTACCAAAACACAAGATACATAATTAATAAAATCCACAAAAATCTAAGTCAGAAACAAAACTCAAAAGTTTTAGCTTTTATAGGAAATTACTTGGTGAAGAACAACGTTGGTGTCTAGGACAATAATCTTAGGGGAAGACAAACGAGCAGCTGAAGTATCACAAGACTTGCAGGCAAAAGCTCCACAGTATATGTCATCTCGTAGATAAACCTCTCTTACTTGCTGTCTCAACAAAAGAACAAAACTTAAAACTCGTAAGGAAGAAGAAGAAGCATATAGAGAGATTGAGAGAAGAGATTGAAACAGACCTTTTGGATTCTTCCTCCTCTGGTTTTCTTATTGAAAACTTTGCTTTGCAACATCTTCTTCAACCTCTGTTTGCTGAGAAATTTAGTTCGCCGGTGAAAAGATTTCAGTCGTCGGAACGGAGAAGGAAGCTTTTAAAAAATGTCTTAAACCTAAGGCAGAGAGAGAGAGTCCTAAATTTTTTTTAACCTCTT